CAATACTGGAACTCAAAGAAGAAGACGAAGCTGTCTTCAAAGTAGTGGGCTTTTCTTCAAAAGGAGGTCATGTGACAAGGTCGCCAACTGCTTGCCGTAAAGCAGAAGACGATCACGCCAAATTTTGCATAAGATCAATTTTTACATGTCTTATCTCAATCCTACATTCCTATTGGACAATATTACCATGCTGGAATAATCAACAACATCATACGGTTGATGTTGGAGCGTCACATCGACGTTGGCAATTGCTCATTGGTTGAAAGTCTACGGATAAGGCAATTATTCGGTTCCGCAGCCGACGGTACGACAAGGAATCAAGTGACAGCCGGAATATTCAAGTTACGTGTAGGAAAGGTAGATTTTCATTGGTTTAGAAAGATAGGATAGGATTTGAGATAGATAGGATTTGAGATAGATAGGATTCAGGATGGGACCTGGATACGTGGTGCGTGTCTAGGTCGCCAAGGACGAGTGGCTAGTAAAGCCAGCGTCCCGATAAACTGAACGATCAATCAACTACTACTCTTTTCCCTCTAAGCCAGCAGGCCCTCCTCTCCAAAAGCCTCCGCCACCGCTCACCTTGCGATCCCGACTTCGCCTTCCTCCGCCAACGTTTCCTCGCCTGCGCTACGTGACAGTAGCACATGTAGTCAATCTTACGACTAAGATTGTATCTTCTGCGAGGATGGAACACAAATTGTTTAACTTTCCTGGCTCAAGTCAACGAGGCACGCTGTAGCATCGAGTGGTGTCACTATATTGCTGATGTTCGATGTGCCACAACTTATCAGTGTATCCTTTGTAGTTTTGGTTATGAATACTTGTGTTTGCAACGCTGAGCTAGGCCGCAGATTGGCTCAGTTGAAAGTTTGTCTATGTTATAGCTTGTAGACGCTATGACTTCTCAATTGTACCCAGCTAATAATGCTCATTTACAGTATCAACTGTAATATACAATCTGGTGATACTTAGAGAAAAGAAGTGGTGGGTACATCACCTTGAACGTGACTCCGGCTGGGGAGCATTGGTGAACCCCAAACACCGATTCCAAACTTTCACCGCTGTGGGACTAGAACCCTCACTCAACCGATTAGAGCCAACACACCAAACCACTGATTCAGATTGTGTCAAAATTTGAGGTGTAAAGTCCAATACTTGTGGGCAAATTTATAGGGGGAACTCACGGAACTCACTCAAAAGCACCGGGTGTGTAGAGCTTCGACGCATCAATTCACCTTTGACACTTCTACATTACGGATGAACTTGATCATGCGCATCCAAAGGTAGTCACATATGATGGAATCGACACCCTCCTCGCGTACGAGGACGTTCTAGTCCCCACATCACGATCATTGCATAGCAATGTGCCTTCATTTTGCGCTTGTATCCACCCACGATGTATGCTGTCAGTAACAGCACGCGTATTCTGTCTTCGTTGGGTAGGACTCGTCTCGTTATGGCTGTAGGACCTGCTCCATTCGGTCGTAACGGTTTACACGCAACTTTTTCAGGGTTGACCTCAGCGTCGCACTTGATGATACCCTTGGCCAAAATATCATGTATTCACTGGTCTTGAGAAACCCGTCTCAAAGCTAATATTCACAGGCAGCGCTTCTTCACGGTACTTGGACCATTTCGCTGGGGGCTTAGCGCTTTGCTCGTGGTACCCAAGAAGCTCAAGCGCTGTCTGGAGAGTACAAGTTGTCTTCGTTATCGGCGATGGCTGTGTATGTGCGGGGGTTGCGGCTGACAAATTCTTGGTACGAAATCTCCCGTCCAGGGTAACGGTTGTCAAGAACATCGATCAAGTATGCATTGCCATCTTCGATCAACGGGTCTCAGGGTAGCCAGATCGAAGCAGAACCGGCAATCAATGTCACATGGTGCTCGAGACCACCCGACAGTTGTCGATGCTCCAACTTCCACGCTGGATCACTCTCGTCGGATCCTCTTGATTGGACATTGGGTCGAGTTGCTCGGTGGTGCGCTTTTGGATGTAGCCGCAGACCGTTGTTGTCTTGTTCGAGTCGTCTGGCTTAGGAGGGGAGGCAGCAGCATGCTCTCCATTGTCGTCACAGTCGTGTATGTCGTCATTGTTCCTACCAGTTGTGTAGCCGCCGCGGGAAGGAGTAGGTGGCCCAGCGACCTGCACCGGTCAGTCACCTCTTCCCCTATTGGACTGCTACCAAGTTCTTGCCACTCTCACCCTCAAAATAAATGTCCCATTATTGTATCAGCAACTGGTTTCTGCCCAAACGGGGTGACAGGTTTTCGACCGTGTCCATGAGACTGGAAACGGGGACACCCGTTAACGCAGAGCACATCTGGTTCCGGCTCGCCTTCACGTCAACGAGCATAATGGTGATCGGCCGGTAATTGCCTTATACAGCGCGCGAGCCTTGCTGATGCATCATCACGACAGCCGACCTGAGTTGAGACGCAAGCAGCTCACCACGACAGAGCCGATCGTTGAAAAAAATCGCGAGACACTTGCTAAAGACGTCTGTAGCCCCTTGGTAGAACCTTGCGGTCAAGTCGTTCATGCCTGGTGCTGACGATGCTTACACGTGCCGGATAGCGCCTGCCAAGATTGTGCATCGAGCTACAATTGATCGGATTCCGAGACAAGCGCATGATCGAGTCCAGAGGCTTACGCTGCATGTCTTTGTCTGGTGGTGTAACTCTTTCTGAGGGGCTGTTTTGGTCACCGATCTCTGAAACCCAGTTGTACACGAAGAGGAGCAAGATCTCGCATCGGTTTGTTTGGACAATTTTATCTTGTGTCTCAACTTCTTCAATCCAGATCTTGCGTAAGCTTTAGTTACATCCAGGGGACGGAAAAGTGCGTCGTCAAGCGCACAACGTTGATTGCTTGGAAGTCGAACGCAGTGTCTTGATGTTACTGGCTCGTTCGCCAGACCGTCTTTTTGTAATGGCGCATGACTTCGTTGAAGAACTCGCGGTCGTCTTTGTGCGACGAGAGTCGATGCCGAGTAGCAGTTTGATCCAGCACGATTCGGGCATCTTCGGTAGCTTGTTTGTTTATAGCTTTTTCTGCATATCTTGCAGTTGTTTTTTTGATGCGCACTTTCCATGCCTCCCAGACTTTTCCTGGTTTGCGGGCGAGACGGAGTCTATCACGCATCAGCTCAAATTCTTTCTCGAATGCCGAGACAACCTCGGGTAGTCAGGTAAATCTCGGAGAAACTTCCAGTAGCCATGATCGCTGGTCTGTGGCCCGCGAGGTGCGCATCGGCAAGTATTTGGACGAGCCGTAGTAGCGGTTGCAGAACGTTTCAGACATTAGCACGTAGTCCAATCAATTCTTCTGTGGATGCAGACCAGTGAGCACGCGCTTCTTGTCATGATGTATCCACCATGTATCAACAACACCAAGCCTCGCTGTTCACTCGAGCAGGCTGGATCGACTCGTCGATTAACAGTGTGTTCGGGTCATTGACAAAAAGCTCGTGTGTAAAAGCTCGGGTCGGCATGGAAGTTCAGCGTCGAGAGGTGTTGCGCGTCCCCGAACTCGTTTTCTTAGATGCAAGACGCCGAGTGTTTTACGATAAGATGTTCAATGAAGTGGTGTCCGTTTTTCTTGATACCGTTTATATTGGCAGTCAAGAGACTGACGCCGTTTCAGGCGTCTCTTCTCTCGTGCTAGGAAGAGAGGATTTAGCAGCAAGTCGCCAAGGCGCTCGCCACTGTCGTCACCGATCGATCGTAAGCAACGCAGGTCTTTAGCACCGACGTTTCTTCAGGGTAGTAAGCGCTCGTAGAGCGTCCAAGTCATCAAGCAGGTAGTACTTTGCACCACTGCGTCATGCAGTGTGAACCTATGTCTGACCTCACCAACATGAGCAGCGTGTTCGGGTGCAAGAGGTGTGTGTGGTGCGCCGGGATCCACTCGACCGGCCGACCTGTGAAGTACTGGATCCAGTGGTCGTTCTTGAAGAGCATGAGAGCGATAGTTATCAAAGTCATCTCAAGCATGCCACGGGCCTTCGACGCCCGCGACAGCTCTGTGATCGCGCCGGATTGAGTCAACCACGTGCTGCAAGCTTCGAAAATGTCCGCGCACGTCGACGGTACCTGAAACGGGGCGACACGTACCCTGGTATGAAAGGGTGGGTCACACAAACTGGTGTGACCGAGCAAAGGTGTGGATTACACAAGTCGGTGAAATCACACAATGGTGTGGCACTACGTGGCGGGACTGCCATTAGTTACGCATATCAATTAGGTTTTACTATTTGATAAGAAAAATCTAAGCTTTTAGATATAGGCGGCTCTGACGCAAATAAAACAAATAAATACAGTTTTAATGCCGAGCACAAAAGTACATTTGTCTTCGATTGGGGTCTGGGGTACTGTTGAAGGTAGCGGATTGCGATCCGC